TGATTGAGATTCATGGGCGTGGGTGAGACAGCTCGGCTCCTGAGAGGCAGCTCAGAAGAGGCTCAGAGAGGAGGGAAGGGTACACGAGGGGACGGACGAGGGGACGCCAAGCTAAGTAAAGAGGAAGGGAGGAAGACTCAGAAGGAGGGAATGAGGGGCACTGTGTTCAGTGACCAGGAGTAGCAGAGGCTCAGTGGAGGGGAAGGGGAGTTCAGGAGGGCAAGAAGAGGGGTTGGTGAATGTGATGGGTTCAGGGAAGGGGGAGGGCTTTAGAGGGCGCATTGGTGCTTAGAGGAGGCTCATAAGGGAGAAGGAGAAGGGAAGTTCAGTGAGGGGGATGGGGCCTCCAGTAGTCAAAGGGGCTCAGTGGAGACACGGAGACTCAGGAGTTACCAGGTTGCCCCTAGCAAGGAGAAATGCCCTGCTGAATGGCATCATTCCTTTGAATCATCTCCTTTGCGTCATCAAACCCTGCATCTTTCTCTGTGCAGAAGATACTCCCTTCCATCTTTGTGGGGAGATTGACAGGTGCTTTGCTTGCATCAGGCAGATCACTGCTCCCAACTTCTGGGGGATGAATAAGGGTTGAACAAGACTAGGACTTAGCCACCCCCCTACCCCCACCATCAGCCAGATCCAGAGAACCAGCCAGATCTGAGTTCAAATCCCATACATGGCACATGTGGGTGACCTTGGGAAAGTCGTTTCTCTGAATAAGAGAAGACACTCAACCTATATATATTGAATGGATGAATGTTCTCTATCTCCTCACAGCATTTCTAAGAAAGGAGCATCAGCAGCCTTTTCTTCCTGATAAGAAACCAAAGCCCAAAGAAGTGAAGAGACTTGCTCAAGATCACACAGCAGGTAAGTGACCAAGCAAGGATTCAGACTCAGAAATGCCCACCCCAAAGTCATAGCTCACTTCTCTGTTCTTTGATAATACCCCTCTTCCTATCCTCTGTGGCAGCAGCCACCAACCTTTCTGGCACCAGGGACCAGTGCTCCTATGAGAATCTAATGCCTGATGATCTGAGGTGGAGCTGAGGCAGTGATGCTAGCACTGGGGAGCGGCTGCAAATACAGATGAAGCTTCACTCTCTTGCCTGCCTCTCACCTTCTGCTGTGAGGCCCATTTCCTAACAGGCAGTGGACTGGTACCAATCCATGCCCCGCAGGTTGGGGACCCCTGCTCTATGGCATTTCCCACAAGTGATATATATATTTGTTTATTGTTTAGTTATTCAATAGTCTCTTTCTCTAGACTGGTTTTGCTTATCATTTGACTCCCCTGAAGTTAAGTATAATGCCTGGCCCCATAAAGCACCCAATAAACATGTGTTTGAATTGAAAAATAATGCAAGAGTGGACAGAGCTTCTAAGGAAGAGAGAAGTCCCTTTCTTCATTCATTCATTCATCCATCCATCCATCCATTCATTCTTTATTTCACTCGGTTGACAAATTTGATCATTACCTTCTCTGTTGGGCTGGTTGCTGGAGGTACGACAACAATCAAATGGGGCCTGCCCTCAGGGGGCACACAGTCTAGAGGGGACAGAGATATATGATGGCAATTCAGTGAAGTATCTACAGGGACGGGGAAACCGAGGCTCTGGGAACACAGAGAAGACCCTGAGCCCAGTTGGGTAAGGAGGAGATCAGGGAGAGTTCCCTGCAGATGATGTTTAAACTGAGACCTGAAGGATGAATCAAAGTGAGTGATGCAAAGATGATGAGAGATGGGAAGGGAGAAGGATTCAGGATGGGAACACTGTGTGCACAGGCCCAGAGGTCAGAGTTTTGGCATCAGCCAGCTTCCTTTTCAGCTTCCTTAGTAGCCCTGGGCTCTGCACTCCCAGGTGTGGAGAGGGGCCACAGCCAACCGCCCCTTAGGGCATGGCCAGCCTGGCAAACACAACATTTGGAATTAGAAAATACATGTTAAACTATAATGATTATTGTTTTTTTCCTGATCTTTATAAAAGTTTTACATTTCTTTTGTAGAAAAGGTGGGAAATAGAGAAAATATTAAAATAAAAAAGAGAGAGACAGGAAAGCCATCTGGAATTAGGGAGACTCGAGTTCGAATTAAAGCTCAGGTCTCTCCTAACTGTGCAGCGCTGAGGAAGGCACGCTTTCTCTGTGATCTTTAGGGTCCGAGGAATGAAGCTGCTAATACCCGTGTCATAGGCAAGGACACAGATAGATGCAAAGATTTATCCAAGGTGTCACAGCTAGTAATAACTGTCCTTCATGTGAGTCAGAGACCCTGAAAGAGAAAAGGCAGCCTGAGGGGGACCTGGTTCCAGAGTCCTGTTCATTAAATACACACCCCTCCCAGGACAGCAGCCAGCAGAGATAGAGCCTTATGGAGAGGAAGTGTGGCTGTGGCTCAAAGCAAGATCCTGTCCATCAGCTGAGAGTGGAATGGGGCATGAGGTTAAGGCCTGAGGAGTCTACTTCCATTCCAGCCTAGAAGATTCGAGGTCTCTGCTAAGAGATCCAACCCCTCCCTTTCAGTCTCTTCCCTGCAACCTGGCCTGGCACCCTCTAGGATGTGATATCAGTTTAATAATTTAGCAGATGCAGACAAAGATAGCAGCTCTGAAAATAACCCAGCCAGGCCCAGCCTCCATCTCCTCTTTCCTCAGCAGACTCCTTGCTCTCCCCGCAAGGTTTCTGCTTGCCCCCACACCTGTCAGCACCCCTGCCCAACAATGGGCACCTGACTTGACACCTCCTCCTTTTCCTGCTTCTAGTCCTTCTCCACCCTCCTCACCTCTTCTTTCATTAATTAGAGCCTAAAAGAATCTTGTGCCAGAAGTCAAAAGCTTGGGTTTAATTCATCATGTGCACTTGAGCAAGTCCCTTCTCTCTAAGCCTCTGTTGCCACATTTATAAAATGAGGCCTCTGGATTCCTAAATGTGGCAGGAACAAAATATTTGGGTGGTGGCGATTACTTAGGCAGGCGACTGGATGTCTTCCCCAGACAGGCACGACTGCAGTGTCAGTGCCGTCTCAGTCGACAGCACTACAATCCCTCCTGCTGCTCCATCTAGAAAGCTCATGGGTTTTCTTTGTTTTTAACTTCTCTTGTGATGAAAATTTTGACCTGGTCGTCATTCCTAGAATAAAAGGCTATGACTTGTATACACATCGATGTAGCAGAGTCCATCTGCTTTTGATACTTCATTATATTTCTGACAATTTCATTTCCCTCTAAGAAGCTGAGAAGAGTAATGCCCCTTCCCCATCAATAGGTCTTTGCTCAAATCATCCCGCTTTTACAGGTCTCAGTTTTCACATCTCTAAAGTGGCCATGTGTTGAAGGGTAAGTAGGACAAGGTAAGACTCCATGATCTCGAGATCATAAGCTCCAAAAGAAGTGAGATCGTTTCTGTTTTCATGCATTCGTTTGACAACGTAATTAAGCACTTACTATGTAAGGTGCTAGGGGCAAGCAGTAAATGAAGGAAGCACAGTTCCTTTTCCCTTGAAGCTTACATTTCAGAAATAAAAATAATTAAATCCCAAGGCATGTGCCATGAAGGAATAATAAAATATGTGCTAATGTTTACTTAGTGCTTACTCTGTGCCAGGTATTGATCCTATGAAAGGCTATTTTAGCATACCCCCTTTTACAAATCAGGAAACTGAAGGATGCAGTGGTTAAGTAAATATGGCCAAGGTCACAAGGTCAAGGAGTGGCTTAACTAGGATTCAACATGCAGGCAGTCTGCCTCTGGAGACTGTTTTCAACCATGATGCCATAGGGCTTCCCTAGAAATTATGAACGTGATGGAAAGGGCTTCTCCTTAGGAGGGGAAATTTAAGCTGAGACCTGAAAGATAAGTAGAAATCAGTCATGCAGAATTAGGGAGAGAGCATTCCTAGCAGGAAAAATAATATGTGCAAAGGTCCTGAGACAGAAAGATCAGTGTGTTCAGTGCCTGGTAAACCAGCAAAAAAATGGGGAGAGCTGAAGTCAGAGGAGCAAGCTGGGCCTGGAGGCCAAGGCGAGGGTTTGGGATTTTACTCTAAGTGCAGGGGAAGCCTCTGAAAGATTTAAGTGGGGATCAACATGATTCGATTTGTTTTTAAAAGACCGTGCTGTTTGCTGTGTGGAGAATGAACTTAAAGGGAGCAAGAGAGAATGAGGGAGACCAATCAGGAGATTATTGCAGTAATCCAGCTGAGAGAGGACAGCTCCAGGCCAGGAGTAATGGGGAGAAGTGGGAGGGAGGATGGATTTGGGTTTTATCTGGAGTTGAACTGAGAGGATTTGTGGATGGATTAGTGTGGAGGTGAGGAAATGCTTTCTGGGTTTCTGGATGGCAGCAGAGTGGATTGTGGTGCCTCGACTGAGAGGAGAAAGATCAAAGACCAAGGGAGGAACAGGGTTCGTGGAGAAATAGAGGTGAAGAGGGGTTTTTTCCTAAATGCTTCATTCCAGAAATAAGAATGAAAGGGGTCTACAGTAATAGCCTATTATATCTGCCCATTTTTTAGTCCAACAAATAAATATTATACTTTGCAGAGAGTGTACCTTTGGTTTCAAAGGTGAAAAGATTATTTGAAATAACTGGCATTAACAGCATTCAGATAATATGGCTTGCGTTACTGTGCACTAAAAAATGAAGGTCTAACTTATAAAATCGTGTTATGTATCAGACTAATGAGAAAAAGCAAAACTCAATAAAAAACAATACAAAGAGGAAAATATATATTTCTGGTAAAGGTCTACATAAACAGAAGATAAGCTTATGGAAATAAATTTTTTTTGGACACCTGTTTTGGAAACTGTCTCTGCTTTTCTTCTACACTCAATACTACTCACAGAATGCTTCGCTTCTGACACTATTGGTCACCGTGTGTGTGTGTGTGTGTGTGTGTGTGTGTGTGTGTGTGTGTGTTTCCTACCCCAACCAATTCTTTCACACCAGCTGGGTGTCCTGCAATTCAATTCAATTCTGACACTAACCAGAGTTCAGGCAGGCTGCAGAGGTTAAGGGCTTATTCCCACAAGACCGCTCCCACTTCAGATCCAATCGCAAGTAGTAGGTCCTCAGGTTATCCACAATTTCTGTCCAACTTGGCTACAAATCAGAGGTTTCCACGATCCTGTCCTTGAATTCAATCATTTGCTCTAACAGCTCACAGAACTCAGGGAAACACATTTACCAGTCGATTACGTAATAAAGGATAATAAAGGATATAGATGAACAGCCAGATGAAGAGATACAAAGGCAAGGTCTAGAAGGGTCCTGAGCACAGGAGCTTCTGTTTTCAAGGGTGTACCACCCTCCCAGCATGTGGAGTTCACCAAACCAGAAGCTCTCTGAACTCTGTACTTTCGAGATTTCTATGGAGACTTCCTCACATAGGCATGATTGAGCATTAACTCAGTTTCCAGCCCCTCTCCCTTCCTAGAGGATGGGAGTGGGGCTGGGGCTAGGAGTCCCAAGCTTCTAATGCTCACTCCATTAGAACAAAAGGCATTCCAGGAAGTGATTCAGGAAATTCCAAGGGATTTCAGAACTCTGTGTCAGGAACTAGGGGCAGACACCAATACAGACACACCTCATTTTATTGTGCTTTGTTTTATTGTGCTTCATAGATGTTGCATTTTTGGTAACTTAAAGGCAAGACCCTCTACCAGCAAAAAGATTATGATCTGCTTTATTGCAATACTCATTTTATTGTAGCAGTCTGGAACTGGACCCACAATTCCTCCCAGGTATGCCTGTATATATATTCTCTATTATTTCACCACACCCAAGTTGGACATCCATGACAAGCAGGCAGGTGTATAGATCGGCACTGGAGAATCAGGGCTGGAGACTTGAACTTGGGGAGTCATCTTTGTTTAGATGGTACTTAAAGCCATGGGACAGAATGAATAGCCTAGGGAGAAAATGTTGATAGAGAAGAGAAGTGGACAGGGGTCTGAGGCACCACATTTAGATGATGGGGAGGAACCAGCAAAGGAGCCAAAAAATTGGCGATAAAGGGAGAAAACAAGGAAGAGGCTGAACAATAAATTGAAAGTGAAGAAGTAGTCACGGCAAATGTTGACCACTCTTCTGTAAAGTTTTGCTTTGAAAAGAAGCAGAGAATGGGGTGGTAGCTGACAAGAAAGTGAGGTCAGTCAGGGATTCTATAAGACTGAAGCTTACTAGGACCAGTTTTGTACACTGATGGCATTGAGCTAGTAGAGAGGGAAGTATGGCTGCCTGGCATGAAGTAATAACCTCAGGTGGGAGATTAAGAAAGCAAGAGAGGATAGGCTCTCCAGTCCATCCTGACACAAGCCTTTATAAAGCATTTACTGTGTGCCAGATACTGTTCCACATGCTGGGGCTATGGCAGTGATAAAGACAGGCAAGTTCCCTGGCCCTCTGAGCATGCTCAGTCCAAAGGAAGAGAGTAAGGCCATAAAGAATCAACCTGAATAAGATTATTTCAGATTAGGTTATGTGCCTGCTTTGAAGGAAGTTAACAAGATGATGTGACAGGGAGCAACCAAGATGATGTCCTTTAGAGAAGTCAAGGCTGATGGAGTGGGCAGCTGTGGTTTTTACCTCCTATCACCCACTTGTCCTACTTTTGATAATAGTGCCTTTATATTTTGGGGGGAACCATTTCTCCTACATGCTTAATACATGTTTTTGTGGAACAGATTCCAATCCATCTTCAAGAATAGGCTTGTGATCTTGGCCTACCCAATGAAACAATATGAGGGCATTTGCTGAAACTACTGGAAAAGAGAAACTTTTTTTACCTGGGAATTGTTGACTGAGTGGATTATAAACCTGGAGCTGCAGGCAGTCATCTTGTCACCGCAAGGGAAGTGTTTGGCTGCTACCTGGCAAGAAAGCCCAGAAACAAAGAGAGACCTGATAAGTGGAGAAATCACTTGAGCGCCTGATTCCAGCCATACCTGAAGGTAGGTCTACTCTTGGGCTTTTCAGTTAAGTGAGCAAATAAATTCTAGTTTTTCTTAAGCTACTTTGAGCTGGGTTCTCTGTCACTTATAATTGAACAAATCCTGATTGGTGAAGAAGGCCTGAAGGACACAAAAGGGCAGACTTAGAAGAGCCAGGGAGAAGCAATCCAGGTGGAAGGAAGAGGAGGCGCAAAGATTCTCTGCAGAAGAGTTTGGGGCATTTGGGGAACATGAAGGAGACAGGTGCATCTGGAATATAATAAGCTATGGTGATGGAAAGAGATTAGATAGAACCACAGGAAGAGAGTTCCATTTCCAGGAAAATGGCAGAAGAAGGGCACGAATGCTTTCCCACATAGCACTTTAAAAATGGTGGACAAATTTTTTAAATTATCTTTTATAAAGCATCAATGAGCTGGCTACAAAGTAAGGGAAATAGAGGCCAGAAACGACAAGAAAGGGCAACAAGCAAATGGGTCCTGGGGCTGGCGTTTGCCCTGAAGATACCTGTTGAACACAGAGGCCTAGACCAGAGAAAAGTATTTACTTCAACCCACAATGAGACATTTTACAACAGGACCCAGGACCCAGACAAAAGTTCCACAAGCAATATTCACCCTGTTTCTATGTGAGGCATGCTGATATTTCCTGGCCTATTCTATCTTATACTATTCAATTCCTTTTTTTTAATGCTGTTTGAGATCCATTCAACGATGGTATACCAGGAATTGCAGAGTTTCCTGTCTGTGGAGGGAAAGCCAAGGTGCAAACCAATTGCAAGTAGCACTCAGGAAGCATTCAGAAGAAAAAGACCATTTGGGGCTCCAGCATTTTGTTGGATTTTTCTTTTCCAGGGAGTTTCAATGTTGGCCATGTTGAGTTTGACATGCCTATTAGAAAGATTTTCAAGTGGGCAGCTGAATTTATGTGTCTGGAGCTCAGTAGGCTGCAGATGTGAATTCGGAATTATCAGCACATAGGCAGTGTTCAGCTGGATGAGATGATCCCAGGATAAGAGAAGGCAGAGGAGAAGAGACTACCAAGGACAGAGCCTGGGGCACTCAGATGTGAAGCAGCCAGTGAGAAGAAATGGCCCACACCTTTGCCCTCTTCTTTCTCCTTTCCTCCATCTTGCTTTCAGAAATGTGAATGGGCAGAGACCATCAAGGACCTCAAGACAAAGGCCTCGCTCTACAGATGGAAGAACAGAGAGCTGCTGTGTGGAGTCTGTTTCTTCCAGCTGAATCTAATTCTTCACTGATACAGGAACAAAATTGAGAAAATCCTGGCAAGATTGACCAAGAAACAAAAAAGGGGAGATGGCACAAGTAAATGATGTTAGATTTGAAGAACAGGACTACAGAACTACAGATGTAGCAGATATTTAAATAGGAGAATATTATAAACAATGTTATGACAAATTTAAAACAAAAGTAAGATAGACAAATTTCTGGGAGAATAAAAATTTATATCAAAAACAGTCAAGGACAGAATGCGAAAGAAAATTACAGAACAATATTACTTAAGAACATAGATGTAAATTCTCTACACAAAAAATTAGTAAGTTAAATCTAGCAATGTATTTAAAAGATAATAAATACATCATCATCAAATTGAGTTTACTTTAGGAAGGTTGATTCAACATTAGAAAATCGACCAGTTAATTAATCATATTAAAACAGGAGAAAAAACAAGTAAACATTTCAACTTATGCAGAAAACATTTGATGATTCAACAATCCTTTATGTTAAAAATTCTCAGCAAACTAGGTAGAAAGCACCATTAACCTGATGAAGCGCCTCCTCCTGGAAGGAGGAGTATCTACATATATCCGAGTTCTGTAAGGAAAATGTCTCTTCTCTCCCATTTATTTATTTATTCAATAATCTCTGATTTTAAAAGAAATTAAAATGTTTTTGTGGGCCCCTAAAAGTACTGTGGGTCCTAGGTACTGTGCTTACTGTGCCCAATGGATAAATCAGCCTGAATGATGAACACCGTTAAAAGAATGACTCCTATTATTTTCAGGATGTTTTTCTCCGGCAGGATGAAGAAAGAGTAAGCAACAGAGGAAGGCCATACAGAGGGCTTCGAAGATACTGGAATGTCCCATTAGACCAGTGGTGAGTGCCTGGATGTTCATTTTATCTTTAATCTTTAAACAATACATATGCTTTTATATAGATATAGATTATTTTATATGTAACTATACATACATGTATGCACATGCACATATTCTTCTACATGATATTTCACAATTAAATTTTTAAAATAAAAATGTGTAAGGACCAGGTCGTGTGGGGCCCATAGACCAGGGTAGGGCCTGGCCCACTGCAGAGATGCCATAAATGTGCATTGAATAATTTAATGACCATCTGACTCTGGATCAGATCCCTCCTCTCGCTCATGACAAAGCTCCAGCTGTGGTTTCCTGTAATCCCCCACTGCCACCATAGCAGTGGCTGGTGGAGGTTCTGAGGATCCTCCTCCAGGCTGTCTGGCTGAGCCTGAAGCCTCCAGGCCCCAGAGGGACTGCTGGGCTGGTTCCAGCTGCTCAGCCTTAGGATGCTAAGGAACAAAGACTCTGCTAAGAAACAGATCCCTACACCCAGAGGCCAGAAGGATGCAGGGGTAAGGCTCTGGGACAGACAACTGCCTGAGGCTTCTAGAGACCACAGTGAGTGGCTCTTCCCCAATCTCTTAGATGGCGTGGGGCAATAGCAGTTCAGTCTCCCCAGTCCCAAGGAATAGATGGATCTAGGCCCTAGGTTCAAGGAGACAAGTGGCATTCAGAAGAATGGACCTCACATTAAGTGGCTCCCAGATCACCGAAGATCCTATGCTCCCCAAGCATGGCTGGCATAATCTCTGACCTGATGGGGTCATGCCGGCCAGGTGACGAGGGAGGCCTGGTGACCAGACTGAAGGATCTTGTCCATGTCTGGCTCTATAACACCTTTGGGCCTTGGCCCAACTCTAGGAGTTGTTATGGGTTGAGAGACTATAATAGAGACTGGATTTCCCATGGGCCAAGTAGAATGAGGGCTCTTAAAAAATAAATAGCCTATTTCTTGCCCACTTGAATTTGTGTACCATATTCATACCCACTACACTTGCTTTTGCCTTTTTTCTCTCTTCTCTTTCTGACTCTCGAGGTCTGTCTCCACCTCCCTCTCCAGGTCTTTCTCTGATTCCGCTTTCCCCTCCCCGCAATCTTCCTCACTACCCACTTCCCCCACCCCTAATCTCTCTCTCGATGGCTTCCAGCCCAGCTACAGAACATTCTGGTTCCAATGAAAAGACGCTTTTGCTGTGTGTGCATCAGATGCCAGGACCTCCCCTCCCCCTCTCTCCATCTCCTTCCACACACACACCTCCTGTAGTATCTGTGGCCTGGACTCAGCAGCCACCCCCATGGCCACCTCCAGCTCTAGCTGGGGTTGCATGTGGGGCTGCCTCTCCCTTCAGAGGGAAGGCCAGAGCTCAGCTGGCTCATGTATTATTGAGTTCCTGTGCTGGTGGCTCAACTTGGCAGAGTGCTGGGAACCCTCTGCACCAGCATAGAAGAGTGGGACAAACTCAGGGTCGCTGAGGCTGAGCTGGGCCAGGCTCTAAGCTCCCAGGCTCCCTCCTATCCCTCCAACTGGGCCCCCAGGGCTAAACATGGCAACTCCTCACTCTTCCACTTGATAGGGAACTCAGCCCAGACCTAGTCAGAGGTACCCCATGCTCTCCCCTGGCCCTGACCTCTGATCTCCACACAGTTCTTCATCCTTCATCCTCAGACAGGGGGCCCCTGAGGGCTGGACTGGGGCTCTGCGCTCAAACCGGGACTAGATGTCTGAATGATGAGAGGCCAGGTGAAGAGAGGTCCTGGGGGAGGAGAAGCTATCTTAGTAATGCAGCCCCAGCTGCGCCCAGCTAAATGCAACTGCATGAGCAACCCCCAGGCAAAATCAGCAGAACTGGCTAGCTGACCCCGGCTGAACCACAGAATTTTTAGAAATAAAATATCATTGTTGCTTTAAGCCACTAAATTTGGGGGTAGTTTATTTCTCAGAAATAGAAAACTGAAACGAGAGCCGAGTCTTCTCTTCCCTTATCCTCCACATCCAGTCTTGTGGGATCCACCTCCAAAACAGATCACGTGTCTAACCACTTTTCCCATTATCCCCAGGCACCACCCTCTTCCAGGCCGCTGTCATCTCTCGGCTGGATTACTGCCACAGCTTGCTCACTGGACACCCTGCCTCCAGTCTTACACTCCTGCAGTCACCATACCGTGACCAGAGTGAAGCCTTTAGGGGATTGGTCAGATCGAGACCCTCCAGTCAATTCCTATGTCACTTAGATTAAAAGACAGACTCCTCAGTGGTCCAGTGCCTGCCATGTCTCCACCCCATCTCCAGTCACTCTCCTCTAGCTCACAGCACTCCAGAAACACGGGCTTCTTTTCTGTTTCTTGAACACACCAAGGTGACCCCCACCTTGGGGCTCAGAAGATTCTTCATCTAGGTCTTTCTGTGTAGGTCTTTCGGTTCCCAGCTTAAATATTCCTTCCTTAGGAAGGCTACTCATAGAAGAGGAAACTGAGGCTTGGAGAAGGGAGGTCATTGCCCAAGTTCACACAGTGAGGAAGAGGCTGGAGTGGGATTCCATCCTAGGTCTGTGTGATGCTCCCCCATCCACATCCACTCCAGGGCTCTTTCTACCACATCAGTAGTTTGGGAGGGTGAAGGTGGTCGGCATGGGCTCCTGAAAAAGGGGTAGGCTTGGAGGGGCTTCCTTCACTTACTTCTCCCACAAACACCCTCAGCTCTAACCCTTGGACCCTGCCCTGGGCTGGGGACTCAGAGATGAAGCAGACCAGACTTTGCACTCTGGGAGCTTCCATCTGGGGACAGGGAAAGCAGCAGAGGAAGTCAAGGCCATCAGAGGGTGTCAGAGTTAGCTCAGGGAGACAGCCGTCTAGCTGGGGGCTCTCTGGGAAGGCTTAACAGAGATTGTGACATTGGCTATAGGAGAGGGGCAGAAAGTAGAGGTGGTGTTCAGTGTCCAGATCTGCCTATTGTTCCCTGTGAGTGACCGAAAGAGACATGTGCATCCATGCCAGTGTGTGTGTGCGTGTGCGTGTGCGTGTGCGTGTCAGGGAGACAGCCGTCTAGCTGGGGGCTCTCTGGGAAGGCTTAACAGAGATTGTGACATTGGCTATAGGAGAGGGGCAGAAAGTAGAGGTGGTGTTCAGTGTCCAGATCTGCCTATTGTTCCCTGTGAGTGACCAAAAGAGACATGTGCATCCATGCCAGTGTGCGTGTGCGTGTGCGTGTGGGTGTGTGTGTGTGTGTGTGAGCTGTAGCAGGGTGAGGTGCAGGGCACGCAAGAGAAGGGCTGAATGAATAAATGGACTTTACTAATATAGAAACTAAAGCCCAGAGAGGCTAAGTCACCCGCCCCAGTTCACCAAGCCACTAGGTAGTAAAGGTAAGATTTGAACCCAGGCCTATTTTGACACCACACAGAGTAAGGTGAAGGAGTAGAGGTCTATCTCCTCCAGGGCCCACTGCTAATTCACTATGTGACCTCAGCTAAGGCTATTCCCCTGCGGGCCTCATTTCCACATCAGTAAATTGAGAAAATTGGATGAAGCACAAAGACTCTGCAGAAAATACTTCTACTAGAAGCAGCCCCTGTCTCAACCTGGTACAGGATAGCACCTCAGCCTGCAGCTCCCTCCAAGCCTAGCAACTGGGTGATGTGCTAGCAACAGCCAGGGAGCCCCAGGAATCAGGTGAAACTGGGATCTCCCACCCAACAGCCCAAACTAGAGTTCCAGAACCCCCTACAGCCCATCTCCTTAGAATTCCAGGGCTCCAGTTGCACCTTTATCCACATCATCAGCCCAGCCTAAATCCCAGCTCTCCAGGGTAGCTTCTGGATTCCCCTGGTTCTCTCCAGCCTTCAGGACACACCATCCTTTGGCCAATGAAAGGAAAGAGGAGAGGCAACTCTGAACGGTTACTGGCCCATTGTCTGACTGTACAGACAGACTTGACCAATCAGACCTGAGACAGCCTCAATTCCCACATTCCAATTCTGCTCATCCTCCACCATTCCATTCTCTTCTACCTCATGAGGTTTCCTTTTAGTTGGTTCCATTCTACTCATTCCATTCAGAATTCCAGAAAATTCTTTCTGGGAAAGTGGGGTATGGTAGGCAGAACTGGAGCTGATTACAGAAGGGAACTCTTGAGGGAAGAATCCCCCATTCTGCTGAGGTCTGGGGCAATCTCCAGGGCCCAGTTTCTGGGGTACCCAGAGGAGTGACTGCAAAGAGCTCAGGCTCTGAACAGAATGGACTTGGGCTCAGCTCTGGGCTCTGCCACTTACTAGTTGTATGATCTTGGGCAAGTGGCTTAAATCTCTGAGCCTCTGTTTTCTTAGTTATACAATGGTGATTTGGGATTTATTCACTGAGTTATTGGGAGGATTAAATGGAATGAGGCACATGATATACCTAACACGTAGTAGGTGGTCATGGTCAGTAGTAGTAATTTGTTCTCCTGTTTATTCTCAGAGGCAGTGGTCTTGTTTCAGAGAGTCCTGACTCCAGAATGGTTGGAGAAGAAGTGGAAAGAAGGGGTTAAAATAAAGTAGCTATCATCATCTAGCACTTACCCTGTGCCAGTTTAAGGTATAATCACTACCTTGAACTATTACTACTTTACTTTATACACAAGGTGTCTGAGGCACAGAGAAGTTCCATACTTGGCCAAAGCCACCCAGCTAGTAAGTGCAGATATCAGGGGCACATATCCAGATCCAGGTGCTTTGACTCCAGAGTTTACATTATGAACCACTGTACTATCGTATCTCACATTAAACCCATTTCAGATGAAAAATGCTGAAGTTTAAAGAGGTTCGTTCATACTGCAGCTCAATAGGGGTGCAACTAGGACTCCCCACTCAGTAAGTTCTGGCATTTACACTGTTGTGTGCTGCCCCCTAGTGCCCCTTCTGGGAGAAGCACACCAGAGGCAAGCAGCCGACACTCACCAATTCACACTCTCTCCTGACCCACCGCTCCTCCCCACACCCAAAGCTGCAGGTCTTATAGCTTCTAAATACTCTTTGAATGTCACCCATATATACAATCACAGTATTTCTTGGCTATCTTGCAAATCCTCAAATTCAACAAGTCTAACACCACCAAGTTTATACTTTTATATCCCAAACTTGGCCTCGCAAATCCTCAAATTCAACAGGTCTAACACCAAGTTTATACTTTTATATCCCAAACTTGGCCTCCCCAGTCATCTCCATCCATCCAAGTGGCACAAGCCAGGACCCTGGCCACCCTTGACGCCTCCCTCCCCCCACTACCGCCAGCCCAGGAGCCAGAAAAGTAAACACTGAACACAGCAGAGCAGCAGTGGTGGAAGCAGAGGATCAGGACAGTGGTCCCCAATCATGGCCAAGAAGCAAAACTGAGCTCGGGTGGCTCTGGTTAGACAGGCAGGCCTTTCTGCTTAGAAAGTAACCCAAATGCAGCTTTGTGGCTAGGAGGAGGGCATGGTAAGGAGCACTGTACTGGGAGCCAGAAGGACTGGGTTTCCACTCATCCCCACTACTCAATCACAGTAGGGCTTTGGGACCTTGATGAGCCTCAGTTTCCCCATCTGTAAAATGAATATGCCTACCTAGAGCTGTTATAAGGATCATATTAAAAAGTGTTTGCTTTATAAACTGCAAAGGGAAGTATACAGGAGAGGTGGATTTTTATCTGGGAAATTCATGCTGGTGGACCTCTCTTTCCTTTGTTATGCTGAGGTATCTTGAGTTTTTTAAATTGTGGTAAAATATATATATATAAGCATAAATTTTGCCATTTTAATCATTTTTAAATGTAAAATTCAATGGCATTAATTACATTCACACCGTTGTACAACCACCAATCTATTTTCAAAATTTTTCATCATCCCAAATAAAAGCTCTGCACCCATTAAGCAATAACTCCCTATTCCCTCCTCTCTCCAGCCCTTGGTAATCACTAATTTCTGTCTCTATAAATTTATCTGTTCTAAATATTTAATATAAGTGGAATCACATTTGTCCTTTTGTGTTTGGCTTATTTCACTTAGCATAATGTCTTCAAGGTCCATCTATGTTGTAGCAGTTATCAGAATATTCTTTTTATGACTGGATAATATTGTGTGTATATACCACATTTTGTCTATCCATTCATTTTTTCGACATTAGTTGTTTCCATGTTTTGGCTATGAATAATGCTGCAGTGAACCCTGGCATATAAGTATCTGTCTGAGTCCCTGTTTTCAATTCTTTTGGGTATATACCTAGAGTGTCATCAGCTTCTGATGGAGTTTTTCAATATGCACTGTGGTGGGGGGGACACACAGAGTCCAGTATGTTTGAGTGTGGGAGGGAAAGGGACAGAGAAGAAGAGAGGTTTCAGTGTGGCTGTGCTTAGAATAACAGCTAACTCATGCCTTTTGCAAAACATTCCACAAAACACTCCAGAGGGAGAAATATTATCATCCTCATTTTACAACTGAGGAGAAGGGAAGGGGCTTATTCAAAGCCACACAGCTGGTGAAAAGCAAGGCTGGGGCTCCAGAGAAAGGTTCCCTCACACATCATAAAGTGCAGCCAGAGATTCAAAGGTCATATTTTCCTTCTTTTTTTTTTCTTTCTAGGTAAGGCAAGTAGTTCTGAGATGCTTCGGTCATCATGTTCTTACTTATTAATCTACAGCATTTTAGGTACCATAAAATGAGAATTTTGTAGTGTAGTTCTGCACTTTTACAATTAAACATGTTCTGGAAAAAAAAAACAAAACCATGGAGACAGAAAAAAGATCAGTGATTGCCAAGAGCTGGAGTTGAGGGGAGGGATTGACTACAGAGGGGTTTAGGGGAATTTTGAGGGGTAATGGAACTAATTTGCATCTTGATTGTGGTAATGGTTATGCATTTTTCAAAACTCAAGGAACTGTACACTAAAAAGTTGAATTGTACCATATGTAAATTATACCTTAATCTATAAAAAAAAAAAAAAGGATCAATAAGTGAATGTGGGGAAACTAAATAAGATTCTAGACACATTTTTTCTACCTTCAGAACTTTGCAAGTGATAGTGTCCTTAATAATTTAGTTAGAGCATAAATTTCTATTTTTATTCATTCATTCATTCATTCATTCAAAAATGAAAGCCCTCGAACCTACCATCCAACCCAAGAACCAGAATATTACTAAAAATTAAATCTACTAAAGGGCTCCCCGCCATCCCTGATCCCTCCCGAACACTATTCTGAATTTTGTGTTCCTCATTCTCTTGCTTTTTTTAAAAAAAATAGTTTTTTTCACATATAAATTAGGCTGAACCTTCTGAATTTGCCATTTTTATAGGTCAAAACAGGTCGAAAACCAGTAATTCCATATGATTCAATCCACTATGATGCCTAAACATACTAGTAGTTCTAGTTGTATTTGAACTTTATAAAAAGGATACTATTACTCTA